CTAATTCTTGTCTAGATTATACGGAAGAATAAGGAACCTTTATATTCTTCCGCAAATATATCCATAGGATTAGATCCATGGGCACTAAGTCAGGCGGCCTCGACGGCCAACGGCTGGGATCTTGGTTAGCTATTCAATTATTCTTGACATTGGCTGTAAAAATTTGCTGATAACTTCAGCGTTCTGAGGCGGTGCGTCATCTTGGAAGGGGTCCGAAGCCTACTAGTTAAAAGTGACGAACTTTTAAAAATTCTGTATTTCAAAGGGGATTATAACAAAATATCAAGTATGCTATATTTTTGGAAACGTAATTTTAAATTCTTTTCAGTTAATTAAAAATATAGAGGGTGTCACAAATAAAAAATTATTTTTTCTGTTGATAACTCTTAAATTATTAATTTTAAAAAAATTATACTTAAACCATTAAATTCTACGTAAAAAGGTGCGTTGGAAATGTTTTCATAGAAATACAAAATTTTCCATAGCAAAAAAGTTACAGCCATTTGTTAAATATGCACATTTTTAAAAAACACCCCGTAACTCCTAAACGGTGACAGATATTGATGTGCGGGTTTCACCATCATGTTTTTGATGAAAATTGAGCTCCAGACACCAATATTAGTTTTCGTCTATATCCTATAGGAAAGGGTGTTTCCATTTAAAAGCGTCGAATTTGACCCACCCTGTACATATGTAGGAAGTATTTTCATGCGTTAATATGATAAAGAGATAAGAATTTTATTTGCTGGGGAAAACAAAACTTAATATTTCGTGTTACATCATTTTTTCAGACACAATAGGGAGATAGCAGCTATTCGTCTTGCAGAAATAATAAATAAAAATATACTTCTGGAGATAGCAACCTTTATTGTTTGAAATTTTGAAAATGGAATTGAATATTACCCAAACAGATTTAGAAATAATCAATTAAATTCAAAAAATATGATATTCATAACCATATATTTATAATATCGTCGGTGTAGAAGCAAAACATACACAAGTCCAAAAACGAAAAATTTTTAATGCATTTTTAAAGAAGAGAAGTAGCAGAATTTTGGGGTTAATGAATATGAAAATAATTTAAAAATTAAACTTATAATTCTTAGAAGATATGGTAGAATCCTTCCATGCTTATCCTAATTCTTATACAACGGTAGTAGACCGAGCTTGGAAAACAGTGCGTGATTTTATTAAATTTTTATTACTTTTCTCCTTATTTTTTTAATTTGTATAAGAATTATGTATTATTTCCTGGAAAATGTTGAAAAAAGAACCGATTAGGTATTATGAAAATACTTGTACAAGTAAGTAATGGGGTTATTTAAACCATTTATAGCACGCCGATGAATTGCTCGTATATAGAGAATTTCGTTTACCCTTTACGGATACTCCGTATTTACAGAATGGATTGACGCAGGGTCGCACTGGCCATATTACATATGTATATAACTATTAGGCCCCAGCCTTCGCGGGCCCCCTTTATAGTTCATTATTTATTCTGAACAATATTTGCTTTTGCATTGCATTATGGCATTTGCATTGCATTGGTTTACCTTGCATTAGGGTAGTTCCCTGATTTCTATACAGGGTGAGTTTTAAATAAGTGCAAAAATTTTCAGGGCTGATAAATCTCGATAAAAGAAACATAATATTTTCTTTTACGGTTTTTCAAATAAATTCAAAACAACCGATTTATATCACTTTTGAAATTTTTGGATTTTCTTTCTTGTAAATTCAATCTACTACCTATGTTGCCATATTATAAACAAAGTATGTTATTAAACTAAAAATTAAAAAAATCCTTTTTTTAATTCCAAATTTTTTCTCAATTTTTCAAAAATCGTGTTTCTTGGATCGAAATATACTACCCCTAAAAATATTTGCACTTATTTAAGACTCACCCTGTATATAATAGGGAAAAATTGCAAAATAAAAACACTAGGGAAAAATTGACCAAAACGTAAGGCGAAAAAGTACGCAAAAATATCCACACGGCGCGGCCTCCCCCCTTACATTGCCACCCGAGCCCCTTTGGCCTAGTGCGACCCTGGATCGACGTACTGTACTAAAGAAACATACGAGTAAGAATCCGTGTGTTTGCTTTAGTGTGATCGTAACGGAAATTACGGAGATAGCAGCATTTCGGTGGCTATTTCAGATCACTGGGAGTTAGCAGATATTATTGAGTTAAAATAACAAATTTTCTTTAATGGGAAAAAATTTATTTGCTTTCCCTACTTATAGAGTATTTTTTCTCTTTCTAACGGTATAAAAAAATTACTAACGTAAAAAATGGAGTTAGCAGGTTATCACGTTTCACTGACGATATGGTAAATTTACTAGAGAACAATTTTATCGACATTCCCTGCTACAATATTTCTCTGTCCCTGCCACTGAAGGTATTTGTGAAGCGAAACTTCTTTACGCGCTTTGGGAGTAAAAATTCAAGCCCGTGGCACACGAGCTAGCCTCAGGAAAAGTGGTAACGTTGATTTTTTGATCTTGGAACGTCGTAACTCGGGCCCTATGTAAGCTAGGGGGCTGAAACACGGAGTAAATATAGAGTCTCTTCGAGCTCCATCTTTTCATGAGATTTTGACGACGTTTTGTGTGTTCCATGATCAATAAATCAAGTCAAAAAATCATCCAATTTAAATGAAATTTAGTATGTCGATAGATTGGGCCAAGGCCAACTTTACTGTGTACGACACGTGTCACTGTGACAGTTAGTTTGGACGTAAGAAACGTCAAAGCTGATGACGCCCGATCGCGACCAAATTTGATGGATAGGCTATGTGAGCGACGACGCGACGGTACACAGGGTCCCATCCTGCAAAGTTGGATACGACATTTCGTTTACATCTTCATCAGGGTGGGATTAAGGATTTGTATTGAAGAAAAATGTGGATCGATTTCGGCATAATTGGGGACGGACTACAAGGTGACGCCCGATGACCCTACAGATGACGTTTCCAATAGTAACCCAGCATTCCTGGCAACAAATAAAGTTCCTACTGGCAGCGTTAATACAAATACGATTATACTGTATTAATGTTGATACTGTATTATATTATTAATAAATGCAATATTTATTTTTAAAATGCGACAAAATATGCTAAATTCAGTTAGAAATAAAATTATCTATATACCACGGGAACTAAAAAGTGTTAGGTAATAATCTCAGGCAATTCTTGTCTAGAAACGTTGCCCTCAGAAATTAACACCCTTATAATTCCCTTAATACGTACGTTACTATATTTTTAAAGTATTCATTACATTAGTTTTTTTATCAGACAAGTCTATTAAACACTGTCAAAATTAAAAACCCGTTTTTTTCTTCAAAAAATGAATTTGCCACACAAATACAGATATTATTTATTTACATCCATGTTTACTAGGTACTTACAATACCCCCAAAAGGACTGGAAAAATCAATGGTGTAGAAAATTTTGATGCATCCTTTTTTGGGATACCACCTAGATTAGCGAACTTTATAGAACCAAGACATAGAATTGTGTTTGAAACGGTTTTTGAAGCCATGGTAGATGCAGGTTACAATCCTAAAGAATTCAGAGGTTCAAACATGGGTACGTTGGCGTTATAATTAGTATCAGAAGAAAGATTACTCTTCTGATTTTGCTTCTACATATTATTTGCTCTAATCTGTTTATTTTATTTTGCTTTTATATTATTGTTTTTATTTCGTTTTTATTGCTCCAATCTCTTAAGTGCAAATAAAAAACAAAATATGACGTAAAAATACCGAAGTGAATAATGATATTAAAAAAGGCTTATAAACATTTGTTTTTCTCTGTGTAATTAAATTTCTTTTTAGGTGTTTTTGTTGGCTGTAGCAATTTTGGTGCGGAAGAAATTTACTCTGACGCCGATAACACATTTGGATACTCAGCTTTTGGCTGTGTCATCTCACAATTAGCCAACAGAATATCATTTTGTTTTGATCTGAAAGGACCTAGTTTTACCATAGATACAGCGTGCTCGTCTAGTTTTTATGCGTTAGCAAATGCTGTTAACGCGATTGAGAGTGGTCGAATTGATGCAGCTATTGTAGCAGGTTAGTAGTTTAAGAATTGGATGTTATTGGCTTAGCGCATTTTCCGCCGGTGCTGCCACCATCGGAGAATATCGTAAACAACTAGTATATAGGCTTGGTGCATTTCAGTTGATTTCAGCAAATTCCGACCGCAGCGCTTCAACGGCAGAAATCAGAAATTATCAGTATGTATTTCATGTTGGCGCCGTTATGTTGGTCGCATTAAAATAATATTGAAATCGTGGCTTTGTCATAATATTTAAGTATTTTAGTAAACACTCAGGTACGAAGTTTGTGTGATGTAACGTTGTTTCGGGTAGTAAAACATAAGTGAAAAAGAATTCGAACTAGGCGTCGTGTTGTGTTGTGGCAATTTCAAATATTAATAAAATTGCCAAAAAAATGTTAACGCGTAAAGGAGAGTGTAATTAGGGTGTTGATGGGTGCAATGTCATCCAACAACTCAATTTTTCCGGATATTCTACTCTCCCGAAATAACATTTTATAGCGTCATATTAATTAATTCCGATTTGATCAAGAGCAAAAATGGATTCAATCATTTCGACGAAACAAGTGAGTAAACAAAGTGCTCGTTACACAATCAAAAAATTAAATAGACATATACTATGAGAGGATAAAATATAATTTGCAATATCAATGGTATATTTTTTTAATCGACTAGTGATTAAATATTTTATGAACATCTTCTAAAATTATAATTATTATGTACCTTTAAAAAAAATTGTTATAGAAGAAATAGCCCCGATTATGATCCCACTAGCAAAACCGATTATTAAAACTATGCTTGTTACCGTAGTTGAACTCACCTAAAAAATTGTTTTAGCTGGAATAATAAATTATAATACAAGTTAGACCTTCTGAAGATATCAAAATATTTTCTTTTTTATTTTAATTTTTCATATTTTTATTTTAATTTTTCATATATCTACTCGCTATTTAAACCCGTGTATTTGTATATACTAGTTGTTTACGATATTCTACGATAATGGCAGCCCGGCGGAGAATGCCTGTAATAGTCATTCATTTCTCTATATAAATATAAAAGAAATACAGATCATATAATTATTTTTAGCTGTGAATATAAATTTTTCACCTAATCAAATCAAGTCGTTTAATCTTCTCAACGTACTGTCAAAAGAAGGAAAAAGTAAAGTTTTTTCCGCAGACAGAGATGGTTATGTAAAATCTGAAGCAGTGGTGACAATTTTATTGCAAAAGAAAACTGCATGTCGCAGATTATATGCTACAGTTCTGGGTAAGCTTAACTGGGTAATATAATTTAAAAAAATATTTAGATAAAAACAAAAATGTATGTCAACTTAAGGTGCCGATGTAAACTGCGATGGATATAAGAGTGAAGGAATATCATTTCCATCTAAAGAATTTCAATCAAGCTTAATAAAATCAGTTTTTGAATCGAAGAATTTAAATGTAAACGATGTTGATTATGTTGAAATGCACGGAACAGGTACACTGATTGGAGACAGGGTAGAATGTCAGACAGTTGTTGACTGCTTCCTTCAAAATAGAAATGTAAGTTTTAAATATATTCTTTTAAATTATATTTATTATTATATTTCTGTTTAGAACCCCCTTACTTGTTGGATCTGTTAAATCTAATATGGGACATGCAGAAGTATCAGCTGGACTGTGTTCAATTTCAAAAGTTTTGATTGCTATGGAAACTTGGAATGATATCCTGCCACATATTTGTGATGAATTTAATAACACCCTCCCTGGTAATAAATGGGGATTAAAACTAAGCTATTGTGTGTAGAAGACAAATCGAAACAAAATTCATATTATCCATATCACTTCCCAAAAACATCAAGGGCGCTATTCTCCACACGGCATCGACAATCTTCGGTATCGGTAAGTTACCGATAGCTATCCGTACGTACGACCAATGAGCTTCCCAGCCATATTACATTGCTTGTTTGTCATTAGTTTTAGCTGTCATTTGACATTAGGTACAAATCTAGTGATGAGACTATTGTTTGCCTTTAACTTCTGAAACTTTAATGTTCATATTCTTCCTTGACCGTCGGGATCGTGTCACAACAACGCGTATATGGATTAATCGATTCTTTAGTCGCTTCAAGAACTTATAAATTAAACCAAAACTAAACATCTCCCTAAAATGAAATCCGAACGACACTCTTGGACTACACCCAAA